AAGATGGAAGTCCACAACTCTACCATGGCTGCCTCCTTCTTTCTCTGTTCCATGAACTTGGAGGTATGCCCGAAATGCTCAACATACTGAACATGCTTCCCTCGAGCGTTTGCTATAGCCCTGATGGATGATGAGAATGGTGAAGGGCTAAGGTGATGGGCCTGGATGGTTGGCCTCACGCGACGGTATCCCACAAGGGCTCGTTCTTCTCGAATACGACCATGGCAACGAGTTCACTGTCCTCTTTCCAGCGTATCTTAGGTGAGCTCTCGGTAGATGCAGAAACGTTCAAGGTGCCTTCGGGCTTCTCCTCCTCTCCGTCGTCTTCGAAGTCCTCCGACCCGGGTAGGGCCATCAGCCTGAAAAACACCCCCACTGCGCATTGAACCCGGATCGTTATAATACCAGCAGAGAACTCTACCACTCAACCAAACCTACGACAAATTCCCTTGGTCTTTAGCCTTGGGAGTCGACTTCCCGCTCTCTCCCCCAGTCATCTCCTCCACCATCAAGTCCATCAAACAATCCAAGTCGGCGTCATCTTCCCCTGAAGACCCATCGTCCGATCATTGAAGTATATAATCGTCCGAGGGATTTATTCACCCTTGTTGATTTCATCTCGACCTTTACACTCGACCTCGCGACTCAACGATTTCCCAGCGGCCACAGTCGATCTCCCAGGAATGGATGTCGGACTGAGCGGAGCGAAGCACTTCATGAATGTCATTTTTATACATCCTCACTTTGATAGAGCCCTGGACGGCGAAGCCCTGAACAGCAAGGCGGCACCTTCACGCGCCACGAAATTCCGTCCAACTCACGTGTCTGCACTAGGCGGCCGATCGCCCACCGAGTCTGCCGCTTTCCTCGAGTTCGTCACAATTGCCTTCCACTTTTCGAGTAGCGCGCGCCCAGCCAAAGAACAGCTTTCAGAGGCGATCGCAAATCGTTTAACAACAATAGTCACGACCTGAAACGTTCAAAAAATCACTGGGAATTTTCCGAAAAAAGTGGTGGGTTCTCACAAATCGATTACAATGGCGTAGCGAAAGTGGCGCGATTGATCATAGACTCACTCGGCCAATTCCCGTGTGTCTGAGGATGTCCTCAGTGATCTCCAGCTGATCCAACGAGGACAGGCACGCCTCCACGAGCGGTATGTCGGGGTCTCTCTCGCCTGCGAGGTCCCGAAGCCAATCTCGTAGGAGCTCGATGCCCTTCCGGTGGACGAAGCTGAACGTAATCTGTGCGTAATCCAAAGGTCCCCGGTTCGATCCCCGCACCTCGCAACAACGTCTGCTTTCGCCGCCTCCGTGGGGTCGTTGAAGACCGAAAGAAGGGCCCTTCGCTTCACTGACGGACTCCTTTCTTTCGCCAACGCCTTCATAAATTTCCTATTAACCTGATATCAGCTCGTGAAATAAATTTCGCGCGCCACGAAATTGACCATCCAAACGCACTTCCTACCATATCCTTATTGACAACTCTTCCGCTTAGTAATTCAGTCCTCTCCCGACTGGACTTAGCCGTTTTCCCACAATCTTTGGCCGAGCCCCGCCTCCCCTCCTCACGAGTCTTCTGCCTCTCCCAAAAGCCCACCACACATCTCTCGTCGAGCAGCCCCTCGTTGGTCAGCCGATCAATGACCTCACGAGTAGGAGCCGCCTTGTCCTTCTCCTTCCGCCATGCCTCTGTCAGCCTTTCAGCTCCTTCCATGGAGACCACCGAGTCACCAGGCATACGTTCATCATCACAAAGACGATCCAACAGAGAACACTCCTCAGAGAACTGTGGATTCTCCTCACCCACATGTGCTTCGCTCCGCTCTAATTTTCGTTCCTTAATTCTACTACCACTATTCCGAATCGATCCATCACTAGATTCCGCACTAGAAAGATTCCTCCTTGGTCTTTTCAACCTACTGCCCGTCGGTGGCGTTTTCCTTTTACTTCTTTTCACTTTTTCAAAAAGATTTTCTTCAAAAGATTCGTCCCCTCCCCACGACCTTTCCCCCTCCTCCACCAGGCGGCGTATCTTTACAGATTCTTCGCGCTGCGTAGCCGCCACTGACGGCAGCTCATTCTCAATCAAACCAGACCATGATGTACTCCCAGTACCACTCATGATCCAAACGAAAAACAAGCAAAAAACTACAGCGGAGCGAAGCACATCTAGGAGACAATTTCCTATACAGACAGCACACACTACTACTACTACTACCACTCCTCTGTGAAATTCGAGAGCCCAAAAATTGGCAACAAGTTCCTCTTGCGAGCCCCCATTGATTCTGTCAATAATTCGACAACCCCGATCGGCGAGGAAACACAGAATTCGTCAAGATGACAATGGGGGTAATGTTTACTCAAAAGGAAGATGCTCCAAAAACGAACGGAGGAATTTCTAGTTCCTGAAATTAATAATAACAACACCAAATCAAACATTCCTCCACTGTCATCATGATGATCCATCCGGCGCCAGAAAGCCTCGAATCGGTCACGAAAAACGTTCCACAATAAATGCGTGAAAATTTCCGATAACAGACGTGTTAAAACCGACCTACCGGGAGAAATCTGATACGGGGATGGTCCCAGCTGGGCGTGCCGGCCAGAAGTGTCAATGCTACCCCGATTGATCCAAGCAAATGCCAGATGAACTAAAGGAGAGGATGAGAAAACGTCACGCGCCACGAAATTGAACACGGAATCGATACGTTTGGTTTCACGTTAATTTTCCCATTCTCAGTATTACTATAATCTACAAAATCATAAAACCCTCATGAATTGGTCGCTCATTTAGAACCACCTTTGAGACCGACTCCGATAGAAGGCCAGCGAGAAACTCTCCCGAAGGGAAAAGTTTCAATCATTGCTATGAAACCGTAAAATATCGGAATCGGAGTGAACTATTCGGCGGCCGAGGGGAGATAACAGAGAGAGCAAAATCCTGACTAGTTAATAGAAGCCCAAAATTTGCATTTTATTCCTAACAACGGTATGTCTTTGATCCACTTTGGGGGGGAGGGGTTCCGAATTGCCCCGCCGTCTCCATCAACCTCCTTCCCATCATTACATGCCGACTAACCCACTGCTCTCTGGTGGTACTAGCTCTAGACAAATGTAATAGGAGTATCACTGGTAGCATCAACAATGCCATACTTAATACCTGATAATAGAAGAATAATGACCGATACTACGATTTGAGGTCGGAAGGGCTCCTTCCCCGAACATACGATATCGTGCGCCCCTCTGGCACGCATAAACCAGACACAAAACGCTGCCCCTGTGGCAGGTTTATACACGTGAATCACGTCTGATCAATCGCTCCTCGATCACGTGACGTGGTAGAAGTTCCAATGTTGTAACACGTCCTCTGATCGGAAGCTTCCAGGCGCACCAATAGGCAGCGCTTCACGAGTAATGGATATCAGGCAATGCCTCCAGGATTTGACTTTGGCGGCCACACGAACACCAAAAGCCTCGTCTGACGAGTTCATAGGCTTCTATCGCCGCACAGTACTGCATACCCTCTTCGCTCTGCGAGCTGCGCGGACGAATCGTATCGCGGCACGTGATTAAGGGCCCTCAGTGTTCGGGAAAGACTTGATGAAAACCTTCAACCGTTTGTAGTCCAGCACCGGGCGAACCGAGTGGTTTTATGTACTTGGGAGACAGGCATGTACGTGATGCTACCACGAAGCTTGCCCAACCGAACTGGCAAGATGAAGTTTCCGTCGAGCCAGAACTGCAGCTCCTCGAGAAAGAGTCGGCGCTCGAGGTCTGTCAGTTGCCCGAGATAATGAGCCGGAAGCATGTGTATCTCGGTGGGTTACTCTTCGACTAGCTCCACTACCATGACTTACAGTGTTACTATGTGATGGGACTTGACACCTAACCTCAGTCCTTGTTAGTGAGGTGATACTCCCGTTCATGTGACTTGTGGAATTTCATAATAGATAGATGCCAGTTGTTATACAACATGACAGTATCTCCATAGATTTTTATATTATTTTTATATCCATAGATCTATATAATATTTTTATGTCCATGACAAGTTGTCGCTGGAGGGTTCGAACCCTGCAACCCATCTTCAGCGAACAACCCAGCGTAAATTGCTGAAAGTGTAGTTACGCGTCGAAGAGAAAACCTGGCTCATCGACGAGAGCAGCTGACAGACTCAGCTTCAGCTACTG